CGGGGCGAAGCCGGTGCCCCCCGCGGGCCCCCCCGCCGCCATGGCCGGGCAGGAGCAGAGCCGTGGGCAAGCGCGGCCGGGGGACAGGGAGGTGGCTCTGGTTAATGGTTAAGGGCTCGGCGGCGCATGGCGTGCCGGGGCGGGCAGGGTCCTGGCCGTCCGTCTGTCCGTCCCCGTGCCAGTTGTGCCACATGGCGTGGGTGACACAGGGCACCGTGGTGCGCGGGCCCCCCCGCCGCCATGGCCGGGCAGGAGCAGAGCCGTGGGCAAGCGCGGCCGGGGGACAGGGAGGTGGCTCTGGTTAATGGTTAAGGGCTCGGCGGCGCATGGCGTGCCGGGGCGGGCAGGGTCCTGGCCGTCCGTCTGTCCGTCCCCGTGCCAGTTGTGCCACATGGCGTGGGTGACACAGGGCACCGTGGTGCGCGGGGGACACGGAGCGAAGTCCGCCCGCCCTGCAGCATCTCCCCACAGGGACCGGGGCGCCCGCAGCCGTGGCAACGGCAGAGGGGACACTGGGGACATCGGTGGTGGCATCCTCCCAGTGAGGGGGGTCCCCATGCCGGACCCCCCCACCTCATCCCCATCCCAGTTCATGGTGTCGCTGGTGGTGGACGAGGCGGCATGGGAGTGTGGGGCATCTTGGGGACGTGGGGCATCCTGGGGACACGGGACATCGTGGGGACAGGAGCCACCCCAGGGCCAGGGGACACTGGGATTTTGGGTCATCCTGGGGACATGGGACACCATGGGGACAGGAGCCACCCCGGGGACGTGGGACAACGTGGGAGCATGGGAGATCTTGGGGACATGGGGTGTCCTGGGAGTACAGGGCATCTTGGGGACACGGGACAGCGTGGGGACAGGACCCACCCCAGGGATGCGGGGCAGCTTGTGGGAGCATGGGGATCCCCGTGGCATAGGGCGCCCTGGGGCCACGAGCCACCCCGGGGCCACGAGCCACGGGCCCCCCGCGGCGCAGGGTGACGGTCCTGTCCCTTCTCCCCCAGGAGCAAAGGGCGGAGGGGGCTGGCCACGGCAGCGTTTATTGAGGTGGCCGCAATGCCCCGGCATCCCGGTGAGGCGCGGTGGCTTTGGGAGGTGGCTCCGGGCCCCTCGGCCCCGGCGGGGGACACAGAGAGCCTGCGCCATCCCCCCGAGCCCCCTCACAATTCGGGGCCGCCGCCGTAAACCTCCACCTCGCAGAGCGCCAGCTGCTCCTCCCGGCCGGGGACGGTGACGGTGACGTAGCGGCCTGGCAGCCCATGGCAGCAGATGGTGCTGAGCGAACCGGGACCAGCATCCTGGACGCGACGGCCGGGAAGGAAGAAACAGGGTCAGGAGATGGTGGCAGTGACATCACCGGTGATGTCACCCCCCAAAGCCCCCGTTTTCGGCTCACATGGGGTTGTCCCTGCTGCGCTCGGCCGGCGCGTCGCCGACGTGGACCTGCGCTCCCCGCAGCCGCTGCCAGCAGCAATCCTGCCGGTTCTTCACCACCACGGCCGCCACGGCGCGGCGCCCGCCCAGGTCGACGCTCCACCATGGTTCCCACTCTCGCCGCGTGTGACTGCAGGAGCCGTGCCGCCAAACGCCGTCCCGGTTGCCGTCTACCGCCTTGGATGCAACGCCGGAACCGTTGGAGGTGGAGGATTGCGTCGCCCGCTGCTCCCGCGCCACGTTGGCGGCTGCAAACACCGCGGGCTGGGTTGGTGGGTGCCGGGGTGCCCGGCGCCGTGGTGGGGCGCTGCCGGTGGCTCACCTCCGGGCAGCGGGGCGCAGCCTTGCCGGATCACCTCCACCTCGCACAGCACCAGCGCGTCCTCCTGGTCGGAGAGGAGGATGGAGACGTAGCGACCGCGCAGCCCGTGGCAGCAGATGGTGCTGAGTGAACCGGGGCCGGCGTTGGTGATAATGCCGCAGCTGCCGGGAGAGGAAGAGGATGAGCCAGAGCCATCCTGGAAAAGGTCCTGGTGGTGGCAGCGAGGGGTCTGGGGCTCACACGGGGTTGCGGCGGCCGCGGTCGATGAGGGAGTCACCGACGCGGACCTCAGCGCCCTTCAGCCTCTCCCAGCAGCAGTCGTGGCGGTTTTTCACCACCACGGCGTAGACGGTGTGCCGGCGGCCCAGATCCACGCGCCACCACGGCTCCGGCTCCCCCCGGGGGGGGGGGGCGGC